TTTAATTGTTTTTTTTTCATTTGTACTGAAAACACCACGAGCTTGTTTACGAATAGATTTTAATTTATATTTAACTGTTTCATCATCATTATCATCTTCAGTCTTTGTTTCCGTTGTATTTGAAGGTAATGGTACACGTACTGATATAAAATGATCATCATTATTGTCTTCATCGTCATCATTTGTGCGAATTTGTTTTTTTATTGGACGTTGAAATATTGGTCTTGATGGAGTTTCTTCTTCAGTTTCATTTGTGTCTGAAGGTTTAACACGTGTACGAAGATAATCATTTAATGCATGTCGATTACCCATATTACTTAAATGATGTTCATTAACATCATCTAAATCATATTTTTTCCATTTGTCTTTTGGACGAATAAATGTATCATCAGCAGGACGTTTTTTAGATATAATTGCATGACTTGGAATATTTGGATTTTGATAAGACGATGATGATGATGATGGTGTTTCATCATCAAGTACAGATATGGGAGTATTATTTTTCGTATGTATATCATGTTGTTTTTCGAGACTTGTTAATTTATCAAATACATCATTTAAACGTGATTTGAAATCGGATGTTGAATTAGTCAGTTGATAAAAATCTAATATAGATAAATAAATAAATAATTATTATGCTTTCAAATTGAAAATTGTTTAGTACTGCTGCATGTTCGAATAATATAGCATATAAAAAATGTTGGAGAACAACAATGAAGACTATGATTCTCATTCGTTATCAGCTTTGAATGAATTTTCAATTTTTTAAATATGTAATTTGTGTAAAAATTCATTATATCCGAGTTCGTTATTTCTTATCAAGGTAGAGAAGATGTTATTTATCCTCTTTTTTTTTCTATAGACATCTATATAATATGATTATGAAGAAAGTACCTACCAGTCGACTGAACTTGAAAAATACAAATAAAATACTTAAATAATTGAAATGGTTCTTAACAAGTTTAATGCTATTGATTATTTTGATGTAAAATTCTGATTAACCTAAGCAGTATCAATATTCGACAACAATACATGATTTGTCAATGACAAAAGTCAACTCAAATTTGCTTCTTATCTAAAGAAGTCATCCATAAAAAGTGTTCAGTATAAAGAAATTTTGTAGTTCATAAACAACAAACAAAATTATAAGCCGTTGCAAAATTTTTGCTTTTTAATTTGTTGTATTTAAATAAGTAGAAAATAGTAAAGATAAAAAATGAAGTTCAATACAAATGCCTCTTGAAAATCTAACAACGTTCATATTAGTACTTGATGAAGTAACCTGCTGCCCATGTAACATAGTATTCAATTATTTCAACTGATTCGTTTAGTCCTTTTCATATTTTATAATTCTCTTCAAAAGAAACTAACTTTGAAAATTTCGCGTTAATTTGTGTGGAACTTATTTTAGTGTCGGTTTCAATGATCGAAACAACACGAAAGAAAACTTGCTGATACCAGAATAGAGACTACGAAAAAAAAAATTGTCCCAACAAAAACTAAAGATTATAACTAAATACTCTACGGCTTTAAGCAAGGTATCTTATAAATCATCGATTAGAATATAATTCAAGAGAAATAACCCAAAAAAAATGCTAGTCATCAACAAAAAAAAAATGAGCATTGGCAGTCTATTTTCGATATAATACGAATAAATTGTGAAATATTTTTTTTCTAGACTGAGACCATAAGAAGCTTAATTTCAGACATCTGTTGTCTGAGCATTCACAAATGTGCGACCCTGTCTCATTTTAATTGTGCGTATGTTAGGAATGGTGCCTAATGAGCATCGAAATTATCGTAAAGATATTCTGTTGTTAGCGATTGAGTTTTGATGCCATAAAATCAATTCATTAGTTCTCTAAAACTAAGTAACAATAAAGTAAATTTTTTTGTCAAAACGTTCATTATATGGTAAGTCTCATCAATCGAAACCAAAACAATATTTTTCAAAAACATCCTCATGTTTGAATGAATGATAATGTGAATTAAAGATTTATATCATGTCCTATTTGAAAGGAAAAAGTTTGTTTTTATTTATTTATTTACTGTAATTCTTTTTCAGATAGTTTACAACATAGTTTTAAAAGAAATAGAATACCTGACATTTTGTATGTTTTTTTTTTCTTCTTGAAGATAATCTACAAATATGAAATAATCTATTGTCTTTTTAAATAAAAAACAAGATAACCTAGAATTATTTTCGTTTGTTTTTTTTTTTCTACTTTATTTAAACAAACAAAGATTGATGACATTATCCACTTTATACTACGTGTTTATCAAAAAAGAATACGGGATGCATTATAGAAAAGGACAAGGAAATGGACTTGATAGGATGATTAATTGTCTATTTCTTTTCACTGTCAGCTTCTTCAGGTGGTTTTTCATTAGCAAATTGACTGGGTATTTTTCGAACACAACGATCATGTTCCCAATTAGCCCATGTATAAACTGAGTATCCAAGTAACACATTAGGTACCCATATGGTGAGAATTGTTTTTAAAAGTCGAGAATAGTAACGATATGATACTTCACCAAAAAACACCAGCATAGGGATTTTGTTCATATGATGAAAGAGTATATTCAACCTGAATGTAAAATTAATAAAAATATCAGTAGAAAATAATAAGAACAAAGCCTTTACTTTGCCACGTTGATGACCGATTTTACCCCATTCCATACCTAATCGGCGTAATGAGAAACGCATTTTTTCACTCTCTATTTAAAATAAAAATCTACAATCGTTTTATTATAACTGTTAAATTTGATGAAAGTAAATAAAACAATATTATGCTGTTACATTATTACAAATAAACTAGCTGTGATTTGAATATATAAACCAACCAATCAGAAAAAAGCGATTTTAAGAGTTCGCTCTATATCGATAGAAGAAGGATATTTCGTCTGTTACTATTTTTAAAGAATAGATGACGATCGAATGGTTTCAGAGCACAAAAAAGTCATTTATAAAGCAAATTTTCGATTGGATTAATAAACTGTTTACTCTACAGAGTATGAATTTTTTCAACTGTGCAGAAACGTACAATATCCACAGCATATTAGATCAGATTTACAATGTCAACTTCTTAGATTGAACAGGATCTTCCAAAAAATTTCATGAAATCTAATTTTCACTATTTCAAAACTTCTTTAACATCTAAATCAAAGTAACTGTCAGTAATATATGATGGTATATAAGGTTTTTCTTCAAAATCGGAATAGAGTATTTTCTAGAGATGTGCAAAACTGAGACACAGCTATGAGATAAAAGGTGTCGGGGATGGAATAAAATGTTCTAGTTAAATATTCTATTATTCTGAAAGAATTATTTTTATAAATCATACTAATAAACTGTTAGTGACCAACTTGAGATAAAATCCTTTTCATAGCTACCTGGCTTGACGAATATGAAGTTCATATATGCCTGTAAACGATTGGATACGTTTCTTCTACGACCGTTTTTACCATATTACATGACTCGGTATTATTATTGTGTATCTCTATGACCATATAAGTAGCAATACAATTATATACGGAGAACAACTAAGCAAAATAGAGATCATCAACACGCAAACATATGATCATTAGATTTAGACATGTTATATTGTCATATTTCTTCGTATACAGTTGTTGACAACCATGCCTGCTTGACTTGAATACTGACAAATATGCTCTATGTGTTATAGAAATATGTTTGAACAATATATATATCTACATGGACTCTTAAAGCAATAAAATACTAAATATTTTGAGATTAGCAGAAATAGTCAAGATCGGATATTATTTTTGTGTGCATTATTTAGTCATGACAAAAACAAAATGGTTAGAAAATATACTCAAAACTATATTTACTTTTTCAAAACTAAATGAAAAGCATCGATTTAGGTATACAATGGTTCAAAAGATACTTACGTATGTTATATATCAAAATAAAGAGAAACAATAATGGTGACAGTATACCTTTCAAATTGCTAATTATACAATACAGAACTAACCCAACCCTACTTCAATTGATCATTAGTCAGAGTCTAATCATAGATCTCGGAAGTTTTTATATTATAGGACAATTACAGAACATATACACAATATAGCGAACACATTCAATCTAACTGTGTTGATTTATCACAGTGATGAACAAGACTTTCGAATAATTTCTCGAAAACCATCACGTCAACAATACGGTAATCTTGTCTCTTCTAGAACCGCAGCGCGATGATAGCAGATTTCTAGTCACAGTGAACATATATGATGTACTGTAAGTTTCATTTTTCATGAATCAACCGAAAGATATTTTAATATTTCGATTTGAAATATAACTTTTATTTGTCGAAGATACTTTATTAATAAAAAAAAACAATGAAATAACATTAACAAATCAATGTTAATCAGAACGACAATGAGATTGAGTAATTGTCGAATAAATATTAAATATTTCTTAAAAAATAAGTTATCGTATATGTTCTATTGATGTTGAATTATTATTAATATGAAAAAAATTTTCATTTAATCTTATGAAACTAAATTCGAATGCTTGATGTGGATTGTATAAATTAACTTCTTTATGAAATATAACAAAATGATTTTCATGAAATAATTGAAATAAGCGATGAATTTTATTAAATTCATATATCGTCGTTTTATTCACCTGTCGTATTATTGGTGCTAGATGTATTTCAACAAGTATCTGATGTATATTTTTACTTAAATGATCACTTGTATTAAATAAGTCGTCGAAAAATTCATATTCACTACCTTCAACATCAATTTTAAGTATATCAAGAGGACGTTGAGAATGATTCAATTCAGACATAATCATTCGTAATGTTTTTGTTCCATTGAATCCGTTACCTATTTTAACTTTATGAAATGTACAAATATTTGTACAATTAAACTCTTTTATATCAAATGTATGTATATCACAATCAGGTAAATAACGTTTTGTTTCATTTTCAAAACTAAATTCACCATTTGAACCAAGACTATAAATTAAACAAGATTTCAATTGTTTTAAACGATAAACATCACACATCCATTTTCCTCCATCACCATTTATTCCTAAACGTTGTTCAAATCGACAAGAAAATGTAGGTTCATAATTATCTTGAAAAAACATTGATGATGAATCAAAAAATCGATTACGATTATGTTGTAAATAAAATAATTCTTTTCGACGATACCAGTCATCATCAATTTCACAAAAAAAGTCATCACTTTCAATACGTGATAATTTGCAATCATAAATATTAATTATATTTGAAAATGTTCGTTGAATATTACTTGATAAAAATAAAACGATAAAAATTGAAAATAATACAATAATGAAGCATAATGTTTTATTCCATTTAATCATTTGAAAAATTTTTTCAAACTTTTTAGTATATGTCACTGAAATAAGCAAAAGAAAGATACTATTATTCGTCTGTTATTACCTTTTTGTCCTTATCTTTTACTATATGTGAAAAGCGCCTTTTATCAATAAAGCGTATACCTTCTGACGCATGAATAAGAACCAAACATATTCTTAGATCTCGTATATACTTTTACACATACGCCTGAGCATATATTTTTCTCTTTTGTTCTTTTCCGTCGTCATTTTCACTACTTGTATACGATGATAAGGCAGAATGAGTCACTAATGGCAAGTATCAACATAGATTTAAAGAAAAATTCTAAGATACCCAAATTCAAAATTCTACAATCGAACTTTCAAAACTAATCTTCAACAATAGTAATATTTTCAACCGTAGCCTAGAGAAACGTTTCCGACAAGAGCCATCTGAAATATAATTCTCTCTACTAATTAATCGGAAATCACCAAAAACAACACAAACCAGTTATACTAAGAAGAAATTGTATACAATCTGACTTGTTTTCCTTAAACTAGAACTCTGATATACTAACTCGTACAATGAACAATTTACAGCAGCTTTTGCAGAACTGTTTGATCAATACAAATAGCCCTAATAAAATGGCTAATAACCAATGTAAGGCTCTTCCTTTTCTCGTCAAGAAAAATCAATTTTGAGATGCTTAGTTAGTTGAATAGCCTTCGTTGGTCTACTTTCGATAACAGTATTATTTATCGAAAACTTGATGTTTTTTACGATTTTACACAGGATTTACTGATGATGCTGTAATCAGAAAGACTGAGGTTTTTGAAGTTTTTTTAAGGTTTCGCATAGTGTTTTACGTAGGTCTATTGGATAATGTTATTATTTTGAGTGTTGTGTCAGAAGAGACGCATTCTAACATAAGTACACATTCTCTTTTTTTTCTCAATTTTGCTCTTTCATTTTTATAATCATTGCTTTCTTATTCTTATCGATTGTCTATTTAAACAGCTGGTATTATTCACGCGAGTGTAGGTGTGACTGTGAATGAGTAGTGCTGATTGTTAATGAGTGCCTACAACTTATATGTTTTTTCCTCGTCTAGGTTCAAACTTTTAGAAGCTGTACAAGTACAAGTACAAGTAGATCTTTCATAATTGATAACACCTGGCAGACTACAATTGAGATGGTTTCTTTACAGTTTTATTAAACAGTAATATCGATTTTCAATGGCAAACTGCGTATGGCGTTTTGCTCAAAACAATTTTTTTTAAACTTTTGTTTTATTTGTACATCCCAGATTTCTCAACCATTTTATACACTAGGAACTTTAGAAAAATTTTAAATTGGAGAGAAAACTGTGCTCCAGAACTTAAAATAGTTGAAATTTTTATTTTTGATTTAGTTTTCTATACCCAGGCCAATATTTCCTAGAATTGATTGTTCTAGGAGGAAATAGGTTTTTGATACGGAGGAGAGGCTTAAAATAAAAGTACTATACATTTTTTTTCAGTAGCATATTCGTTGCTATTTCGCAGATTTTTCAACAATTGCTACATAAGCGACTTATTAGAACAATTAAAAGTAACATATCCTACATGGATTAATTTCAAAAGAATGCATTCATTACATAATAAATCGTTAAATTTCCTTCACGCTAACTTTTTTCTCACTACATCAAGTGAATTAATTGCTGAATAATTGACAAACTGAAATATGAAAAATATGATGAAACAAGATCATTTGTCAGCAAAGGTCAACACATTTATGAAAGGTTACAGTTATCATCAAAGTACAGAGAAATGTGCTAGATCTTAGACGAATGATTTCGGAGCCTGAATCCATGAATTTTTGGCAGATTCTCGCCGGAAAGACCTCTGTTCAACTATGCATACGTTGTAATCTTTTGATCATTCACACAATAATAATTACCAAAATAAGATTAAATATGTGAATTGTGACCACGATCATTATTCAAGTCAATCGGTAAGGAACGTCTCAGAAGTTTTGAAATGACTTTGAAATTCATCATTCTTGCATTCAATAAAAGCAAAGTATTTGCAACTTTGGCAGATTATTGTACATACTTAGTACTAAATAAATATGAAGTTTCAAGTCTACAGTTTTTACTATGCATCAGAAACTCAAGTAACATTCTCATATTCGATTTTCTCATCTAGTATTTTTAAATCAAAATAATTTCGTGAAAGAAAAAGAAATTCATATATATACATATATATATCAACTTGTTGATGTTTGTGCATTTGATTGCCATGATAATTGATTTGGAATTATAGTGATGCTGGTATTTTACTTATCAGTCGTTGATATAAAAGAACATTGAATTTTTCCATTAGTTTTTACTGAAGTTTTTGAGTTGTTTAATATTATTCTTTTCCTTTCTCTTAGGCTGATAACTACGTTATGGTGTAATGAACTTCAACCTTTCATTGATAAAACTTCGTCATTGTTTAGAAAATTTATCACTTCAATTTATTGGAAAATTGATTGAAAAAATACAAAATCGCGTTGTTTCAATTTCTCGTCTATATTAAAAATTATGGACCGGAAACTTTATATTTATTTAATACTGAGTAGATGTAATCAACTTATGAGAGATTCCTCCAACTCATAGACTACTTTTAAGTTGAGACAATGTGAATTGTGTAGAGGCAAATGAGTAATGATTATCTCGAAAAGAGTTCACCATCTTTGCTGATTACTGCAGAGATACTAGGTTATTATGGATTTTTTAAAATGAAACCCGTGGTTGAGAAAAACTCTTTTATTGAATTTCGGCTTGAAACTTTGCATAGAAACAAGTATTGACGACAATAGAATTTTCTGTATTTTTCAGATCTTGTCATGATTTCTATCTTAAAGTATAACTATGGTAATCAAGTATCTGTTACATCACTCATATAAAGCATCAGATTTAATGTTCTTGTTTCAGGATTGAAGCACAACAAAAGATTTGGAATTTTCACTATAAACTATTCTTGTCAAATTCTATCTCTATGCAAACTTTCAAGTCAAAATTGGAAAATTAGTTTTTCTGAAGCATAACATTCATTTTAAAAACTATCATAAAAGTGCCATATTTCCGTAGCAGTTAGCTAAGGACACAGACTCTTTCCGGAGTATTCATTATTCATTTGGGTCTACATATTGCACATAGTGTTGAATCAAAAGCAATTCTTCAGTTGAAAGATTTCCCTCGTTAGACTAAAGTAATCGATTATGTTTTGAACAACAGAGATGTATAAAGGGCATCATCAAAGCATTAATCTTTTATAATAAAAAAACAAAAGTTTTTTTTTTACATTGTCTCTTTAAAGAAACTAACGGCTAGAGTAAATAAGTAAAAAAAAATTCAAAAAAGGCATTATTCACCTACAGCAAGTTACTATTGATTTAACTAATCGTATAATATAATGTTTTCTACTTGGTCTAATGATGAAATTTTATAAACCAAATAAAATTAATCGCTCAAAAATCTATATTTACCTTGTAGAACAGATTACATATCAACAAAAAACCAACATTGGAATAAAATGAAGCCTTTTTCTTGTTATCAACTAAAAGGAAATTAATTCCACGGGCAATCACTATTATTTTGTCACTTTTTTTCCAGTAATAATAAAACTCATTCAAATGAACACATAAAACTAAGAGATGATCCTTAAAATTTAGCACAGAATAATTGCATCTATTTTTTTTTCTCTCAATCCTATATATATATAGAATATTTAATGAACTAACGATCGTAGCAGACGTGTATAGCATAATATTGAATATATTATCGAAGCGAAAAAAGACAAATCCTTATAAAACGTATCTAGGTTCCTTTCATTTGGTAAAATCGAGCGCCATCTTCTTCTCATAGCTGAACAAAATAGACAGTGTCATTAACCAATGGATACATTTGCTTTCTTTTGAGATATTTTTCCTGTTCATTCATTTGTTCATAATAACTGTTTGCTTCTTTCGAATCGAATTAGGATAGGACAAATTCGCTTCTCATATATCATATCAAACACGTGAAATATGAATACAAGCTTCAGTAATGAATTACAACAATTACAAATGGAATTGCGTATGTTTTACTATTCATTATTTAATTAATTAGTAAAATTGTTCATTGATAGGTGCTCAAAATTTTGATATTATTCGATTTTCAACATATCGAACAGCATGTAAATTACGTTTTATTCAAAAGAAACTTAATTGTGAGTTTGTTTTTATTCGACTGTTATCTCAAAAGATTCTGCATATAAGGACATATTCTCGATATAGTAGAATATTTACTATTGTAAGATTATATCGTAATAGTTGTTAAAAAAAAGCTCATCAACATTTGAATGATATAGAAGCAAAAATATCATAAAAATAAACAGGAAAATCTTGATGTATATACACTAATTTGTATTTATTCTAGTTCATCTTCTCGATTTATTAAATGTAGTTGAATCTCTTCGAGAATGTTTGACAAGTTTATCTTTCGAAACTAATTCAAATACTGCAACTTCAATTAATCTTCGTGAATCAAAACAAATTCACTCTCGTTTAT